CCAAACAGGCTCTTTTAACCTTTTGATCAGAGACTGGCTTTGACCTAACTCTGTGGCCTGAGAGAAGGAGTCTGAAGATCTTTGCTGATCTCCAGCTACTCAAGTAGGGCATGGGATGGATTTAGCACTTAAAGAGTGGCTGACACTTTGGAATTTGTAGCAATTTTTTTACCCCCTTTAACAGGTCAATTTCTGTTTTTCTTCTCCTCTATTAAATAAAAAGGATTTTTTTTATGAAAATGCACTATTATTTCTTAAAAAATCATTTTTTTTCCTGCTGCTTGCTCCCTGCTGAATATGAAGTCATTATTGCTTTTTTGTGACAATTTCCACAGCAACCAAAATAATCTCACAGAGAGCTATGACTTCAGGTGGAAAATAAGCAGCATAAATTCACGGTCATTAGTTACAAACAAAAATAGGGAAGAAGAAAACAGAAAAAAATATTACACATAAAACAAGAATGTCAAAACAAAAAAGGTTTCCAAGTTTCTCATGTGGCAGTTCTGCATCCCTCTTACAATAAACGTCAACTCAGAAGAGAAAGCTTCCAGCTGAGTGCCACACTTTCAACACCCGTAAGTCAGATTGAGTGGCAGATGTTAAATGTGAGAACCATTAAGACCAATTATGTTTTCCAAAAGAATGTACAGTAATAGTAAGTGCAGGCGATCCTATATTACACAACAGCAGCAAGAGACAAAGTGAACCACACAGGAGTCAAACAGAGGTCAAAAATATATTGTACCCTTTCACAGAAAGTAACCACCTAGCAGGAGGATGTCTGCCCTGAGTTTGTTGCAACCATTTGAACCAGAGAGTAGTAATTCTAAGCAGTTCTTTCCATATTTAGGATGGAAATCTCATTTTTTAGGATGAGATTAGAATTAGGGCAATGGCCATCACATTATGCACAAATACTCAATTAATCCACATATTTGGATGACAACTTCAAGCACACTGCAGGAAAACAGCTATTGAGGAGCCTTTTTCTCTCTCTTCCCAAACTCAATGAGCATTCATTATTATGGTTGCTAATGATCATTCATTATTATATTTGCCAAGCTGAATCACCCTGATGTCATCCTGAGAGGGTAGGCAAATTCCAAGTTTAAATGCAGGTGGGGTTTCCATCTGAGGTATCAGGAAATAAATAATGCTGTATACTTTTTGCAGCACCAACATAAACAAATAAATACTGCCCACATACATTTTTAAATCACCAAATAGATACAGTTTGTAATTTTTATAGTAGAATCCTTTTCAGAGCTAAGCTGTATGTTAAATGTAAATACAAACTATGTAGCACATATGTAGGTAAATGAAATAATCAATACATACTTTAATAGCTTAAACACCACCGGAGGCAAAGAACCTGATATTTACAAGAGATATGGACATATTGCCACTGACTGAAACATAATCTCAGAGTGAGCAGTATTAAGTAACTTTTGGATCTTGAATCCAAAGAAGTCAGCCCAATTATGAAAAAGTAATCCATAACTTCAATAACACAGAGCAAAGTGAATTAATTTTTTAGCAAACTATGAAACTAATTCTTGTTTTAAAAAATCTAGTAACTGGAGATTTCAAACTAATACATACAGCAATATTAGAGATTTCACAGCAAGTTTGTCAACTGGTGGAACTGACACCTTCAGGTATACTGTATAAGTCACAGCTTAATTCTGCACCCAAACTTGCATCAGTAGCTCCCAATAGGAATACAATACATGTATCCAACAGCAGGATTTGGTCCGAAGGAAGCTGGTGAACAGTATGTTTCTTGTGCAACTAGTGGATTAATATGCAATCTACCTTTCTTTTTTAAAAAAGAGGTGTTTACAAGGCCTTAGGAATTACCTTCAAAGAGAGAATACTGTGCGACTACTTACATACAAGTAGCATCCAAGTACTAAATATTGTCCTTCTTTGAAGATGTTAAATCTGAGAGCAACATGTCTACAAGTCATAACTAAATGATTGTGTTTAATTATGAAAGTGTAACAAAATTAGGTGTCTTACTTGCATAGCACGACACTCTGATGTGGACTAAAAGCACTTATATTTATTCAGGGCTCAACTCTTTTAGGACAAAGGCCAATAGTAGGTAATCTATAGCTCCTCACTGGGAGAGAGTTCTCGGAAACATTAGCCTTGCACCAAAGACTGTTCCTCCTGTAGTTATGCAAAAAGCATTGTGACTGTTATGCTACTCTTGTAAAGTGCCCATTTGTCTCTGAGCCCAGCCACTTCTACTGGTGTGTGAAGGCTTGGGACAAGGACATTACCAGTTTCCCGCTCATTTTTTAAAGTCTGGTGTCAGCAGAGACATAAACCTTGAGCAGCCTCTCTGATCATGGTACAGGTTACAAAGGCAGGGGTACAGGGGATAGCCACCTCTCCCACTGTACACCTGTGAAGAGGCCAAACACAAACTTCCCTTTACAATTTTAAAGCAAGGTAACCAAGCAAACTATCCCATTAAAATATATTAATTGGTAAAAAGATCTATAAATATTAAATTTAACCAATCACAAAAACATATTTTTAAAAGTAGTTTCACTGACTGTCACTCTCCCAATTTTCTTACTCCTTCAGACTGTGTAAAAAAGACCCCCACAAACAACAGGAAAACTAATTGCAGGAAAAACCCTGCAGGAAAAAACCCAAACAAAGTATTGTCAAATGCACAAACTAAACAAACTGGAAAACTGCAGAAATTATTTTTCACCAATTAAAAACAAAAATCATGTAATAAACAGAATTACTCTCTGGAATATTTTCACTGAAGTCCATAGAGTTACACGCAGGATTAATTTGAACTAATGATTTCAAATGGTGCACTGTTCTATGTAATAATACAATTGCCATAACAAATTCAAAGCAAAACATGAACATCAAACAGACAAAACTAATTATTATTGTCTATTTGGGAAACTATTATGGAGGGGGAGGGGCAGATCTTTGAATATCCTTAACAGTCTTAGTAACAAAAATCAGGACTTTCTAATATTTTGGAAAAACCTATTTATACTTTCTGCACTGAATGCACCCAGAAAGTATAATTTACAAACTCAGTCCAGAAAAGTAAAATGAAAGGCTGCTGCTACCTCTCTGCATTTATATTTCCCAAGCTAAAGGCACCATAGTTTGATAGATTTCATAACTGTTTTTTTTAAATACATGCTGTTATAAAGCTAATTATCACATCAAAAGATATATAATGCTGTGCCCACCACTTCCATCACAGAGTAAATTCTTGTTTTCCCCTGTGAGAGACTTCAGTGGTTGCTATCTGCTCTATTAAATATCATCTCCAGCTACAGCTGCCTACCCAAGACACTACTTCTACTCAGTCCTACTCCTGATGAAGTTAGTAGTGGTTGCACCTACACCTATCTACAGAGGCAGATGTTTTAGTAAATATCTACAGAGGCAGACATTTTACTAAACCATTCCCTCCTCACTTCCCCCCACCCCAAAAAGCGTGACGCCCACAAAGCAGGGGAAACAACGATCATCTCTTCCACCGGCTTTAACTCAACCCTCCAAACATATAATTTTTTTTAAGTTTTAAAGCTCCCCGTGTCTTTGAAAGAAAAATCTTTGCCAAACAACATTTTTTTTAATCCAGCTGTTTTTTCATTAGCCCAGCTTGCTCTCTAGTCACTGCCCTAGCCCTGTGCAGTCTAACTTGCATCTATAGTTGATGCTGCCACCTGCAAGCTGCCTGAAGTCAGCAGAGAGAGGCACAGCAAACTAGAAAGGAGTAATGGGCTCCTGATAAGAGACAGGCGCTCTCACACACTTGCGGGGAAATGATGCTCTCGTCGCTGTTCTGCTCTATCCTGCACTGAACGCATGTGGCTGGATGAAGCCTGTTGACTTTGTAGTTCATGAGACCGGTAAGAAATGCAGCGAGCAAAACTGGAAGCCCTCTCCTGCTTTGAGCCTGGCGTTTTAAGCTTCGCTTGAGCCAAACCGCTGAAACGCTCAAAGCCAGGAGACGTCATCCACCCCCCCCCCTCTCCAAACACACGCACACCTTAGAGACAGAGAAAGGCAAAGCTGGGGGCTGGCAGCGTGAGACGGGAGACGACGAGGCTTTCTGAGGTGTGGGGCAGAGCTTCCCAAAGCACCGCGGAGCTAGAAGGAGTCTGCAGGGGAGTGGGGGCAGACAACGAGACCCTCCCTCTCCAGGGTGCCGAAACCGGCGAGCTCCTGAGCCCACCCTTCTCCTTGCACTTAGCACATCCAGCCTTTTGCACGGGGGGGATAAATATGTAAATAAATATATAAATAAATTAAGTCACACCCCCCCTTACCAGCTGCATTTAAAGCAAGCCACTATTCGCACGGCTGGAGAAAGCAGCGATGGGCACGAGCATGGGCATGGAGGGGGGAGGGGGCTGCTCAGCAAGGCAACAGCGTCTGGTCCCAGCAAAGTAGAAGCAGAAGAGATTCAACCTCCGTCAACCGCAGCACCGCACTTGGGGTGGCTTGGGCTGGGGGGGGGGGAACTTCAGAGGAGCCCATTGAGTGATTCCTTCCCTGTGTCCCAGCAAAGTGGTAAAAAAGGAGCAGGTCAAAGGAAGGAAAGACCCCGGGTGCCCCCCTAGCTCTGTTTCCACCTAAAACAAGAGTGCCAAGACCTTGTGGGGAGGCATATCTTCTCATTTTTTTAGACTCAAGCCCCCCACCCCCCGCGAGGCACCTCGGAAGACGCCAGCTCTTTAGTCTGCGCTCTGTTTTTTCAGGGCAAAAAACAACCAACCAAATACTGGAGCCCTTCTCCTGCTGCAAGGACCTGAGCCCAGCAGGTCAGGAGGGGCTGGCGGGGTCTGCGCGCAGCCTGCGGGCGCCCGGCGCTGCCGGCACTGCGGGGCACCCTTGAGCGGCGCGCGGCTCGCCGGGAGGCTGCCACGGGTTTGATCCCGGGCTCCGCAGCTTGCCAACACGGCGCAAAGCCCGGGGCCGGGGGCCGGCGCGGGACTCACGGAAGAAGATGTACTCGGTGTAGCTGCTCCAGATCTTGTCGTCGCGGTAGTGCGGCACGAAGGCGGCGGCGCCGCTGGAGTTGCAGGCCACCATGTGGAAGCCGGCCTCGGAGAGGCGGTCGAAGGCCTGCTCCAGGTAGGTGAACTTGAGGTAGAAGCGCGCCGTGTACTTGTCGGGCGGGCGGTCGGGGTCGCGGCTCTCGTTGAGCGTGTCGCCGAAGACCTCCTTGGCCAGCGCGATGCGGCCGCACACCATGATGCGGGCCACGCGCCGGAACTTGGCGTCCGCCTGGTTGTCCCGCAGCGCCGTGGCCGAGCCGCGGTAGCCCACGGTGAGGAAGCCGGAGCGCTTGTCCCGCGCCGCCGCCTGGCGCGGGTCGCCGCTGCCCTGCGAGGCGCTGTCCTCCAGGTCGCTCTGGCAGCCCTCGTCGTTGAGCGAGCTCTGCTTGGCCACCTTGGGCGCCAGCAGCTTGACCAGCTCGGCCAGCTGGAAGTACTCGGCCTCGCGCAGCAGCCGCTCCTTCTCCGGGAAGTGCTCGGGCAGCGCCAGCTGCTTGTCGCGCAGGTAATCCAGCACGTACCTGAAGAGGAAGCCGTCGCGGTCGATGAAGAAGCGCGCGCGGCTGTCCCTCGGCAGGTCCCGGCCCGCCGCGCCGCCGCGGCCCGGCGCGAACATGCTGGCCAGGGTGCTGTCCGGCACGCTCAGCAGCGTGGAGTGCTTGGTCACGTACACCTGCCCGCCCACGTTCAGCTCCACCACCTCGGGGAAGGGCGAGCCGGGCGCCGCCGCCGCCGCCGCCGCCGACACCATGTCGCTGATGGGCAGGATGGGGCCGG